GGCCCCTTCCGGAGCGCACACCCATCCTCTTTGTCTTGCTAACTCCTTGTCCTCCAGGCCTCAGCTGTCCCTTCAGGGAGGTCCTCCCTGGAAATGAGCCTCCCCCATGCCTAATAGGGCCCCTTCTCATGACCACTGTCTTTTTCCTTCTTTCTTTTTTTTTTTTTTTTTTTAAATTTCTGTCCCTGGGAAATTTGTGTTTTGTTTTGTTTTGTAATATAGCAGAGGCAAAACTTTTCTTCCCCTCAGTAGTCAAATACACTGGATACATCACATAAAATTTACCACTGTAAGTGTACAGTTCCGTGGCACTAAGTACAGTCACATCGTGAGACCATTACCACAATCCATCTCTAGAACTTTTTCATCATCTCAAACTGAAATTCTGACCCCATTAAACACGAGCTCCTCAATCCCCCCTCCCCCAGCCGCTGGGAACCCCCCTCCTACTTTCTGTCTCTATGAATTTGTCTATTCTAGGTGCCTCATAGAAGTGGAAACATACAAGATTTGTCCTTTTGCCTTTGGCTTATTTCACTTAGCATAATGTCTTCAAAGTTTATTCATGTGATAGCATGTGTCAGAATTTCATTCCTTTTTAAGGCCATTGTATATTCAGAGCACATTTTGTTTATCCATCCGTCCACTGATGGACACTTGGGTTGCTTCCACCCTTTGGCTGTTGTGAATAGTGCTGCTGGGAACGTGGGTGTACAAGCATGTTTGAGTGCCTGCTTTCAGTTCTTTGGGGTGTATCCGCAGGGGTGGAGTTGCTGCCCTTTTCTTGTACAGTACTTACTACAGCTGCAATTATCACACGGCCGGTTGTGTGGCACAGGCATCTCTGTTTGGGTCACTCACCACCGTATCCGCAGCCCCGGAGAACAGCACACCACACTGAATAAACATTGTTGAATGAGCGAGTGAAAGTGTCCAATCTTAGTGGGTGGGGCAAAATGTAAGTATCCTGACGAATTGAGGTCTGGGTTAATCTTAGCCCCCAAAGAACAAAGCCATGGATCCCCCAAGGATTGACGAAACTTCCAAGAATATCAATTTTACTCATCCTTCAGGAGAACGAAGAAGAATACCAATAACACTTATTGAAAGCTCACTCTGTGCCAGACTTGTGACAAGCACTTTGCCTAAATTACCTCATTTAATCCTCAAAATAACACAGACTTCCCTGGTGGCGCAATGGTTAAGAATCCGCCTGCCAATGCAGGGGACACGGTTTCGAGCCATGGTCCGGGAATATCCCACATGCTGCGGAGCAACTAAGCCCGTGCGCCACAACTACTGAGCCCGCAGGCCTAGAGCCCGTGCTCCGCAACAAGAGAAGCCACCGCAATGAGAAGCCCGCGCACTGCAACGAAGAGTAGGCCCCGCTCGCCACAATGAGAGAAAGCCCACGTGCAGCAACAAAGACCCAACGCAGCCAAAAACAAATAAATAAAATAAAAAACCTATATTCCATAATTTTATTTCATTAAAAAAAATAATAACGCTAGGCGGTTTACTCTGTATCTCCCTCACGCGTTTCTTGCCTCCCCCAACCCACTCCCCTCCGGCAGCCACCTGTTTGTTCTCTGTCTCTGTGTTTGCAGTTCTATTATTATCCCCATTTTACAAGTGAGGGAACCGAGGCATGGAGGGGGCTAAGCACCCTTCCCAAAGGCATGCAGCTGGGAAATGGCCAAAGTGGAATTTTTAGCCAAGACTTTCTGATTCCAGAACTCACACACAAAAACCATTCTCCACTGTTGAGCAGAGAAGTGTTGCTCTTTACATTAAAGCAAAATCAGAGATATTACCGAGTAAAATTCAAAAATTGAATGTCATTTAAAGACAAAGTACACAAGGCATCAAAGAATGTGTCCTACCTGCCTCAGTGCTCGGGGTGTGAACTCCCTCCCTGGCCCCTTCTCTGAGGACGCTGGGAAGGAGGAGGTCGAGGCTTCTATCCAGGTGGAGACCCATGAGGACCACCCACGGCCTCCTGCAGTTCTCAGGCATCTTCTGGAGGATGTGATGGTGCAGAAAGGGAGTGACCTCGTGTTCCACATTTTGAACGTTGGCATCAAATGGGAATGTGTGTGTTGGGTGTGGGGCTGACTGGGTCACGGACCCTGCAGCTAAATGCTATTTTCTTCCCAGGGGAGAAAATCCAGCACCAGTAGAGCCGTCTGTCAACCTCTGCCCCTCCCAGTTCAGCCCCATCTTCCTGGCCAGGCCCTCCTTTTTAGCCACAGTCTCAGTCCAGCCTCACCCTGTGCCTGGGAGGAGGGGAGGTGAAGAAAGGCACTTCTGTGAGTTCCCTGAGTGGGTCGGAGGAGGAGAGGGAGGGGAAAGGATGCGTCTGTCCCTTTCCTCCTGGAGTTAGGGGTTGGGGGGGGATGGGGGGAGGGGTGAGGGGTACGGGACCCAGCTGTCCTTAGTTGCCAAGAGCGGAGAGATGCTCAAGTCCGTTGGTCAGTCTGTCGTTTGGAATTCCGGAGCTCATTTTCCCACAGAAACAAAGCTCAAGTGGCGGTTGGCTCCCCGCCTGGCCCAAAGGAGCCAGACTCAGCTAATAGCAACACAGCCTCAGAAGACCCTTCACACACTGCCATTGTCTGTGACTGGCAGGGCTCACAGATCCTCAGGCAGCTCTGGAGGAAGGGCTCTGGTGGCCGTGGAAACTGGGCCGAGGGCAGCTCTTACACAGGCTTAGCTTTGGGAAGCAGCGTGGGCGCGTGTGTGCATGTGTGTTTGGACATTTTAAGCACACGCCTCAATTTCTTCATCTGGAAACGGTAGTGGTAAAAGAAGATTTGGACTAGATCGATGGTTTTCTAAACTTTCGTCTTTTTAACAGCTTCTCCTTTTGCAAGTCATCTTGGGTAAAATCTGCTCTGATTAAAGTGTTGTTAGGGGCAGTGAGGGGCTCGACCCCTGGTTTCCCCTCCCACCCCTCCAGCCTCATTATACCTCTTCATTATACCTGCCTCATTATACCTCTTCAGAACTCCAGGTGTCCTCAGAGCATGTTTGAAAAGTCACTGGGGTGGATCCACACACACAAATACACAGACATACACCCAGGCAGACATGAAGACCTATACACTAATGCACACACAACATACAAGCACAGACACACACACAGAGGCAGAGACACATAACATAGATACACACAGACACACAAACACACACATAGGCAAAGAGATACACCCGAAAACACATAGACTCTCACATACACCCCATCTCTCCGGCTCTAGTATTTTCCTAGAGTCACAGAGGAAGTGCAGGGTTGCAGCTAACACTCCATTCTGGGGATAACGCTGAAACCTGGGGGCGGGCTCAGCCAGCCCCTTGCGAGCTGTGCAGCCCAGGGTGAGCCAGTCCCCTGCTTTGAGCTGTAAATCTGTTAACACTGGGAAGTGAGATTAGGATGCACAAGGTTCGGGACTTCCCTGGTGGCGCAGTGGTTAAGGATCTGCCTGCCAATGCAGGGGACACAGGTTCGAGCCCTGGTCCGGGAAGATCCCACATGCCTCGGAGCAACTAAGCCCGTGTACCACAATTACTGAGCCTGAGTTCTAGAGCCTGTGAGCCACAACTACTGCAGCCCACGTGCCTAGAGCCCGTGCTCCGCAACAAGAGAAGCCACCGCAATGAGAAGCCCGCACACTGCAAGGAAGAGTAGCCCCCGCTCGCCGCAACTAGGGAAAGCCCGCGTGAAGCATCGAAGACCCAACGCAGCCAAAAAAAAAAAAAAAGATGCACAAGGTTCCATGAGTCTTTGGAAGCTGGCAGTCACTCTGCAAGTGGCAGGGCCTTTGTGGCTGCAGATTTGACTAGTCAGGCCCGAATTCCAACCAGGAAGCGCCAGTCCTGTGCAGGGGCCATGTCCATCTAACTCATGTTCCGTGACATGCCAGGACCCTGCAGGATCAGGGACCCGAGGGTTCTCTGTAAGGGGAGTGTGTGGGGTGGGGCGTGCCAGGGTGGGGGGGTGGGAGGGGCTCTGGGAAAGGTGGGAGGCTCCCATTGGTCCGCGTTGTGACAGCGACAGGAGCAGCCTCCCCCATCCGCCCCAGGCCCGGGGAGTTGGGGCCCTTGGCTGTCAAGGAAACCGTGTTGAGAACACAGAGCCCCAGGAGCCAGCAGGCCCCGCCCGGAAAAACAACATCCTGGCTTCTGGGGCACCAGCAGGCTCTGTGGGAGGGGTTATTTTTAGCTGGTGAGGCAGCCAGGGCAGGACTTGTATGGCCTTGCCGTCTGGCTGCATAACTCACCCATTGTCCCACCCGACCTTGGGCTCTCTGCCTGCCTCTGCTCTCCAGGCATGGCCCTCCCTGGGGTGCACCTGAGTCACAGACAACCCCAGGAGGAGGGGGCTGGCCTGGGAACACACTCACCTCGTAGCCTCAGGGAGCAAGCCTTCGCCTTGAAAGCAGAACGCGGGCATCCCAAGCTAGGATGGGGGTTCTAGAGCAGCAGGGGCACTGGGCCTTCTTGGGAGAGAGATGGAGGTTCTGCTGGGGCCCAGGGCCCAGGGTCTCCCCCGCATGGAGGCGAAGCACCGTTCCAGCCGCACAGCTGGTGTGGAGATGGGAGGCAGCTTCCAAAGGAGGACACAGGTCATTTTAGCGTAGACGTTCTCCACTCCAGCCGCACCCGGAGGTCAGTTCAACCACATCTCTCATGGGCTGAGAAGGTATGTGTATGAAAGAAGCTCTAGGTCTCAAACTTTCTTGCCCATGCCCAGGAGTTATGCCCTGCTCTTGGGGGATGTGATGTCTGTATTTAATCCTGGGCACAAACACCATTAGGCAGGTCCAGAACTAGGCTGTGGCATCAAGGATGAAAATAGTGGATGGGAACCAGGCTGTCCAAAGCAAACACTCGGGCAGCCAGAATGACTGTGGGGCTGGACCCCTCCAGGAGAAGCCACCTCTACCTCTCCCTGTCCAGAACCAGGAAGCAGGTGTGCCCCAAAGGGTAGGCACCCCATTTCAGCCTCCTCTTCCTGGGCCAGGGTTCTCCCTCCCAATAGGAATCTGGGACTAGGGGCTTGTTCCCTTGTCCTGCCTTTCAAGACCTGCTCTTGAAAGATGAGAAGTATTGGGAATCCTTGGTGGGTGGAGAGAAGGGTAGAAAAAGGAGTCATTCGTTCGACAAATGTTTATTGAGCACCTACTATGTGCCAGGCACTGTCCCAAGAACCTGGGAGAGGAGGGGTCGGGGTAACCCTTCTCCCAGAAACAAGGCCTGCAGGGGGACAGGGCCTGGGGAGCCTCGTCCCTGAGAGGTGGAAGGCCTTGTATATGGAAGGTGGAGGCCTCTAGAAATGAGAAGCCTGGGGAATGTTTGGGACTCCAAGGCTGGTGTCTTCCCTGGGGCAAAGCAGGGGTGCAGAGAAGCAAGCTTCCCAGGAGCTGGGACAGCAGCGGGAGGAGGCCCCGTGCCCCCTGCATCACCTCCTCTTCAGCACGGATATGCAGGACTTCTTGAGGGGCCCGATCTGCAGGTGGGCATCCACGCTCTCCAGGAAGAAGGCGGGCTTGAGCCTGTGTGTGAAGAGCCCCGCAAAGTGGCTGTCCAGGCGGCTCTGGAAGGGGTCAACCGGGGAGGCTGGGGTGCCACTCCGGCGGGCCCGGGAGGTCTTCAGTCTCCGCAGAAGGCTCATCTTGCCATCCCGCACGGCATAGAAGGCCAGGGTTCGGTCAGCATATTCCAGGCAGATCCCGACAGTGGGCGAGAAGGGGTGGGGCAGGAGCAACTCCAGCCCGTGGAACCAGACGGAGAAGCTGCGTCCGTTCCACTGCAGGCAGCAGGAGTGAGCATTGCGTCCAAGCCGGCCCCGGTCGTAGGGCTCTTGCGGGGAGAAGTCTTCAGCCATGACTCCCACGCTGACCCAGCCCTCAATGATCTCTACCTCCCAGTAGTAGGTGCCCCGGTCCAGGGCGCCCTCGCCCAGCACCTGCTCACAGTGGGTGAAGCGGGTGGGCGACTCTGGGTAGTTGATGGGACACAGCACCCTCTTCACACCCTTGGTTCCAAACAGCTGCAGGAACTTGTCTGCCGTGTCGCTGTCCAGGTCCACGATGTACGCAACTGCTCCCACGGAACAGAGAGAGATGCAGGGCTCAGGTCCAAGGTCAGGTGGGACAGTCCCTCCCCTAGGGGCCCACCTCCCCAAACACAGCCTCTCCCCTCCTCTGCAACTGGCCCTCTGCAAGCAGGCCACCCTGGGGAGCACCCCATGAGCTAACCTAGTCCACTGCATGAATGAGGGACAGGAATCGAAGACCTCATGCGCCAGGGCCCAGCCCAGAAGCCTTGGAGGGGCCCCTTATGAGCAGTGGGGTGAGCCCAGGTGTCGACTTACACTTGAGGAAGTAATCCCTGGGAGCCTCACTCTCCAGGCTGTTGGCGCTTTCGGGGTCCTGGGACTCAGCATCCACTGCAGAAGAAGAGACAGTGCAGAGGGCGTCCCCCCAGCTGCCCGTGGCTGGGCCGCTGTGCAAGGTGACCGCCCCCCACCGAACCTATGACTGAACTTCCCCTCCTCCCCCTTCCTCCCAGCACCCCAGGCCACCTGGGGACAGGCACGCCCCCAAATATGGTACACTGTGTTCACACACATGCCTGGTCCTCGGGCTCTGCCCCCGCTCCACTTCCTCCCTGGGCCTCAGCCCTTCTGAAGCTAGAGGGTGGTCTAGGAGAGGCCTGCTCTGCCCCCCGGGCTGTGGCCAAAGGGGCTGACTTGTGCTTACAGGGTGGTGGCTCCAGCCATTGGCAGGATTTGGGGTCCCACCCTGAGCCTGGCAGTTTCCATCCTCCACTCCTGAACGGGCACCAGGCCTGGGGGCCCGTGCGGGGAGTCTGGGGAAGGATGAGTCACTTGCGGGGGGCACCCACCTTCCGTGCCTAGCTTCTGCAGCTCATCCTCGTCGCTGCCCAGCCCCTGCAGCTGCTCCCACTGGCTGGTGCAGGCTGAAGCCAGGCCATCTCGTACCACCTGCACGGCCTGGGATGACTTGGTGAAGCTGAGCTCCCTTGGGGGCCCGGGCCCAGGGCCGCACCCCTCCTCCAGGGCCAGCCTGAGCTCCAGGAGCTCCTGTGCCAGACAAACGCCCATTAAGGCCCTGCTGGCCACAGCTCCTCCTGGCTGGGGTGACACGGCGCCGCCAGGGGGCTGGCACAGCCCTGAAGCCCAGGCACCCGCTGCCTTCTCCCTCCGCCTCCCGCCTACCCCCTTCCATGTCCTCTCTGGCCTGCAGAGCTGCCCTCACCTGCAGGAAGCTGACCGAGTCGGCTTCAGGGACCTGACCGAGGTTGCGGCGGGCCCGGCTGAGCCGGCTGCGCTGTCCCTCCTGCCGCCGCAGGTCGCCCTGGGAGCGGCCCAGCATGGTCGCCTCCCCCTCGTCGATGAAGGACAGCACCTCTGCCTGAAACCCCTGCAGGACGGCTGCAGCCTCGGCAAACAGCCGGCTCACCCTTTCCCGCTCTGCCACGGCTGCACTCTGCACAGGACAGAGGTGGCGGTGATGAAGGCAAAGAACATCACGTCCCATACCCCACTTTCCCCCCCTGTCCTCTCGGGGGAACAGAAGCACCAGCCCCAGCTGCCCTGGATCTATGTCAGGTCAGGGGAGACACTTGTGCTCACTGGAGCCGGGCAATGCCTTGAGCGTGGGCTTCTTTAGAGTGGACGGTACCATGCTGAAAGCTCACACTGCCAGGAGGATACTGCAGGAGTGAACGGGGGCGGGGGTTAGGATGGGATCGGACCTTGATGAGGGCCACCGTGCGCCGGGACTGTGCGATGCCCGCGCCCAGCTCGTCCATGCGGTCCTCCACAGCGCTCAGGACTTTGGGCTGCTCGGCCTGTGAATGACACCCTTGAGTATGGGGTCTGGCAGAGGTCACAACCCTGCATTGGGGTCCCAGGTCTCACCAAGCGGGGAGGAGAGGGGTGACCTGGGAGAGAGTGGTATCTGGGTATAGGTGGGACTGGGAGTGGCCATGATATGTCAGAGGTGCCTCAAGCCCAGGCTGGTGCCATTCCCGAATGCCCAGGGAGAGGGCAGGCTGGCCAGCTGGGGGTTGTCTGCCTCCCCCCTTTGACTGGTGTGCAAGTAGAGGGCCATCTATGGTCCTCAGTGTTGCTCACATTCATTTGAGAACTTCCTTCAGTGGGGAAGAGGCAGAGAAAGAGAGTGAGGAGGAGGCGCTGCACAAGATGGCATTCAGCTGTCCCGGGCATCATTGTCCCCAAAGAGTCTGTGCCCCTAGCCCAGGCCTGAAAAATAGGGATTCCGGGCAAATCCCCTGGGTCTTATGAGTCACCACTCCAGACAGGAGAGACGGAAAATCCCAAGGCAGAGGCGCCAAGACCGGGCTGGGGGCCAAAGGAAACTGGGGGCGGAGGTAACCGGCCAGGCAGCGTGCACATGCTCCCGCCACGGCCCCCGGAACAGCTGGACAGAGCGGTCTGTGTGCTCGGACCACCCTCTGCAGAGCTCCCTTCGCCTGCCACACCCATCCAAACCCTCAGCCCAGGCAAACGGGGATCTGCAGGAGCTCGGCCCGCGCAGCAGCTGCGCGGCGCAAATCAGCCGCCTGGGACCACGTGGGCCTAACCCGGCTCCCGGCTGTTTAAACCCCCAAGGGCCCCGCTCCAGCCTCAGGCCCCCAGCCCGCCCATCTTTTTCGAGTTCTCACTGGGTCCCTCCAACCCCCATTCTCGTCCCAAGCGCAATGTCCCAGAGCGAGAGGAGACCGTCAGGGCTGGAAGGGACCGCAAAAATCCTCAGGTTAGAGGAGGGAATTAAGGATGGGGGTGAGGGGTCCCCGGCCCTCGGCCGCCACGCGAGGCCCGTCGCCCGCCCGCCCTCCGCGCCTGCGCCCCACCTCCTGGAGCGCGCGCTCCTGCTCCAGCGACACGAGTTCGTGGCCCCGGTGCTCCTGAGCGGCACAGGCCTCACACAGGCACACTCGCTCCGCGCGGCAGTAGCGCTCGAGCGGCCGCAGGTGGCGCGGGCACAGGCTCTCCTCCAGGCGGCGCAGCGGCGGCACCAGGCGGTGTCCGCGCAGCGCGGGGCTGCGCTCGTGCGGGCCTAGGTGCGCGGGGCAGAAGGAGGCGAAGCAGGAGAGGCAGGAGAGCGCGGCGGGTAGGGCGGCGCCCTCGGGGCACGCGTCGCAGCGCACCGGCTCTTCGCCCGCCGGCCACGGCTCCGGCGCGCAGGGAGCCGACGGCTCCGGGGCGCTGGGCGGCGCACTGGGCGGCGCACTGGGCGCCACCGGCTCGGGGGCCCGGGCCGGGCCGGGGCCGGGCCCCGGGCCGGAGCCCTGGCGGAGCTGCAGCAGCTCAGACAGCGTGTGGTTCTTGCGGAGCTGCAGGCCGTCGGGGAAGGGCTCCTGGCACAGCGGGCAGCGGGCCGTGCCTCCCGGCCCGCCGGCGCCACCCGCGCCGCGGTGCGGCCAAAGCGCGCCCAGGCAGGCGAGGCAGAAGTTGTGGCCGCAGGGCAGCGTCACTGGCTCCCGGAGCGACTCCAGGCAGATGGGGCAGCTGAAGGGGCCGCTGCCGTCCATGGCTCCTCGGTCGCGGGGCACCGCCTGTGCTGCTCCCGTCTGGGAGGGACCCGGACTGTTCGCGATGGGGCGCCGCCCCTGGGACCGAGGCCAAGGATCCGGCCCCCGCCCGCCGTCCGGCTCGGACCGCCCCCCAGCACCACAGGCCCGCCCGCCGGCCCTGACACCCAGCCCCAGCCCGGACAGCGCAGAGTGGCCTCTGGGCCCCGTCTGACCCCTAGGGGCTCCTGGACGAAAGGGCTGTGAGAGAGAGAGGGCAGAGAGCTGAGAAGGCAATGCGGGGGACACGCTGAAAGCAGGGAAGGAGTTCACTCCTCCATGACCCCCCATAAACTCCCCCACCCCGTGGCCAGCCAGGGGCTCCGGAGGGGCTGGGTGACCCCACTGTGTTCCGCAGGCACTTTTGCACTCCAGACCCCTCCGCAGCACCTTTAAGCAAAGTTGCTGAGCTGCTGAAGGCGGGGGGTGGGGGTGGGGGGAAACTGCTGATATACGCATGTTTTTGCCCCTATTTAACCCGGGTCGGAAACTTGGGCTTCTCTAAACTTGAAATGGGAAGTTGATATCCTCCAGGTCCATCGTCCTGGGAATTCAGTTACGGTCCACGGTCCACCGACACTCATGTGGTGTGCCTGCGGCTAGGGATGTGGGTTCCCCAAGTGGAGGCGTTTGCTGATACTCCTTCAACTATGCACTCAAAATGGTGCATTTTATTATACGTAAACTATACCTCGATAATATTAAATTTAAAAAAATAGAATGGCAACAAAATAACAAAAGTAGCATTGGGTTGTAACCCAAAGTATAAAATAAACATCCATGAGTTCATGCTGGTGTAAATAAATGACTGGCTAAATAAACAAATGAGGGAGAATAGACAAATTTCCCATTCAGAGGAATTCCAAACAGTTTTGGTAAATACTCCAAGGTGGAGAATGGCTTCCCACTCCTTAAGTATAGACGGTGCATAGTGACTTTCTTCCAAAGGGAGCAGAAGAGTAACTTTACAATGGAGAAACCTGATGAAAACCACATCAAGGTCAACGTCAACAGTGATAAGTCATGTCGGCAGTAAGTACCCTTGATATGATGTGGTCTTCCTACCCAGAAGTCCATAATCCCACTCTAATTATGATTAAAACTTTAGACAAATCCCAATAAGACACAGACTACACAGCACCTGACCAGAACCCCTTGAAACTGTCAAGGTCATCAAACAAAAGCAGGGAAAGTCTGAAAAATTGTCACAGCCAAGAGAAGCCCAAGGAGACATGATAACTAAATGTAATGTGTATTCTGGACGTGTTCCTGAGAGAGAAAAAGGATGTTAGGGGGAAACTAAGGCAATTTGAATAAATTATGGAATATAGTTAATTGGGGCAATGCTTCCTACCCCCAGGCCTGCAGACTTCCTGCTGATGAGAGGCCAAAGTGGAAGGAATAAAGTGGTGGAGAGGATTGATCCACCTAGAGGTGGGGATTAGCCTTTCTTGCTCTGCCGGGGGGGCCCTCTTGAAGCCTGGTGTAGTCTCAGAAGCCTTTCCAGAATAATGCTTTTAAATGCACAAAATAAAATGCAGAAGATTCCATGGCAACCAATTACACTGAAATACAGGTTCAAAATATAAAGAAATAAATTTGTGATAAAGTAATATATGTGTTTCTTTAACACAAGAACAAATAACAAGATCTGATGGAGGCCTAAGAATTACTGTATTTTTGAAATAGTGATGAATGTAAACATATTTCAGGTTCTCTGTCACCTCTGTAATGTGCAATGAAAAATCTGTAACTTCTTTTTTTTAAATTTTATTTTATTTAGTTTTTATGCAGAAGGTTCTTATTAGTTATCTATTTTACACATATTAGTGTATACATGTCAATCCAATCTCCCAATTCATCCCCACCCCCTGCCACTTCCCCCCTTGGTGTCCATACGTTTGTTCTCTACATCTGTGTCTCAATTTCTGCCCTGAAAACTGGTTCATCTGTACCATTTTCCTAGGTTCCACAAACATGCGTTAATATACGATATTTGTTTTTCTCTTTCTGACTTACTTCACTCTGTATGACAGTCTCTAGATCCATCCACGTCTCAACAAATGACTCAATTTCGTTCCTTTTTACGGCTGAGTAATATTCCATTGTACATATGTACCACATCTTCTTTATCCATTCTTCTGTCGATGGGCATTTAGGTTGCTTCCATGACCTGGCTATTGTAAATAGTGCTGCAATGAACATTGGGGATGCATGTGTCTTTTTGAATTATGGTTTTCTCTGGGTATATATGCCCAGTAGTGGGATTGCTGGATCATATGGTAATTCTATTTTTAGTTTTTTAAGGAACCTCCATAGTGGCTGTATCAATTTACATTCCCACCAACAGTGCAAGAGGGTTCCCTTTTCTCCACACCCTCTCCAGCATTTGTTGTTTGTAGATTTTCTGATGATGCCCATTCTAACTGGTGTGAGGTGATACCTCACTGTAGTTTTGATTTGCATTTCTCTAATAATGAGTGATGTTGAGCAGCTTTTCATGTGCTTCTTGGCCATCTGTATGTCTTCTTTGGAGAAATGTCTATTTAGGTCTTCTGCCCATTTTTGGATTGGGTTGTTTGTTTCTTTAATATTGAGCTGCACGAGCTGTTTATATATTTGGAGATTAATCCTTTGTCTGTTGATTCGTTTGCAAATATTTTCTCCCATTCTGAGGGTTGTCTTTTCGTCTTGTTTATGGTTTCCTTCGCTGTGCAAAAGCTTTGAAGTTTTCATTAGGTCCCATTTGTTTATTTTTGTTTTTATTTCCATTACTCTAGGAGGTGGATCAAAAAAGATCTTGCTGTGATTTATGTCAAAGAATGTTCTTCCTATGTTTTCCTCTAAGAGTTTTTTAGTGTCTGGTCTTACATTTAGGTCTCGAATCCATTTTGAGTTTATTTTTGTGTATGGTGTTAGGGAGTGTTCTAATTTCATTCTTTTACATGTAGCTGTCCAGTTTTCCCAGCACCACGTATTGAAGAGACTGTCTTTTCTCCATTGTAAATCCTTGCCTCCTTTGTCATAGATTAGTTGACCATAGGTGTGTGGGTTTATCTCTGGGCTTTCTATCCTGTTCCATTGATCCATATTTCTGTTTTTGTGCCAGTACCATATTGTCTTGATTACTGTAGCTTTGTAGTATAGTCTGAAGTCAGGGAGTCTGATTCCTCCACCTCCGTTTTTTTCCCTCAAGACTGCTTTGGCTATTCGGGGTCTTTTGTGTCTCCATACAAATTCTAAGATTTTGTGTTCTAGTTCCATAAAAAATGCCATTTGTAATTTGATAAGGATTGCATTGAATCTGTAGATTGCTTTGGGTAGTATAGTCATTTTCACAATATTGGTTCTTCCAATCCAAGAGCATGGTATATCTCTCCATCTGTTGGTATCATCTTTAATTTCTTTCATCAGTGTCTTACAGTTTTCTGCATACAGGTCTTTTGTCTCCCTAGGTAGGTTTATTCCTTGGTATTTTATTCTTTTTGTTGCAGTGGTAAATGGGAGTGTTTCCTTAATTTCTCTTTCAGATTTTTCATCATTAGTGTATAGGAATGCAAGAGATTTCTGTACATTAATTTTGTATACTGCAACTTTACCAAATTCATTGATTAGCTCTAGTAGTTTTCTGGTAATATCTTTAGGATTCTCTATGTATAGTATCATGTCATCTGCAAACAGTGACTGTTTTACTTTTTCTTTTCCAATTTGTATTCCTTTTATTTCTTTTTCTTCTCTGATTGCTGTGGCTAGGACTTCCAAAACTATGTTGAATAATAGTGGTGAGAGTGGACATCCTTGTCTTGTTCCTGATCTGAGAGGAAATGCTTTCAGTTTTTCACCATTGAGAATGATGTTTGCTGTGGGTTTGTCGTATATGGCCTTTATTATGTTGAGGTAGTTTCCCTCTATGCCCACTTTCTGAAGAGTTTTTATCATAAATGGGTGTTAAATTTTGTCAAAAGCTTTTTCTGCATCTATTGAGATGATCATATGGTTTTTCTTCTTCAATTTGTTAATATGGTGTATCACATTGATTGATTTGCATATATTGAAGAATCCTTGCATCCCTGGGATAAATTCCACTTTATCATGGTGTATGATCCTTTTAATGTGTTGTTGGATTCCGTTTGCTAGTATTTTGTTGAGGATTTTTGCATCTATATTCATCAATGATATTGGTCTGTAATTTTCTTTTTTTTTTTTTTTGCGGTACGCAGGCCTCTCACTGTTGTGGCCTCTCCTGTTGCGGAGCACAGGCTCTGGATGCACAGGCTCAGCGGCCATGGCTCACGGGCCTAGCCACTCCGCGGCATGTGGGATCTTCCCAGACCGGGGCACGACCCCACGTCCCCTGCATTGGCAGGCAGACTCTCAACCACTGCGCCACCAGGGAAGCCCGTAATTTTCTTTTTTTGTAGTATCTTTGTCTGGTTTTGGTATCAGGGTGATGGTGGCCTCATAGAATGAGTTTGGGAGTGTTCCTTCCTCTGCAGTTTTTTGGAAGAGTTTGTTAGCTCTTCTCTAAATGTGTGATAGAATTCACCTGTGAAGCCATCTGGTCCTGGACTTTTTGTTTGTTGGAAGATTTTTAATCACAGTTTCAATTTAATTACTTGTGATTGGTCTGTTCATATTTTCTATTTCTTCCTGTTCAGTCTTGGAAGGTTATACCTTTCTAAGAATTTGTCCACTTCTTCCAGGTTGTCCATTTTATTGGCATAGAGTTGCTTGTAGTAGTCTCTTATGATGCTTTGTATTTCTGCAGTGTCTGTTGTAACTTCTTCTTTTTCATTTCTAATTTTATTTATTTGAGTCCACTCCCTCTTTTTCTTGATGAGTCTGGCTATTGGTTTTTCAATTTTGTTTATCTTCTCAAAGAACCAGCTTTTAGGTTTATTGATCTTTGCTATTGTTTTCTTTGTTTCTATTTCATTTATTTCTGCTCTGATCTTTATGATTTCTTTCCTTCTGCTAATTTTGGGTTTTGTTTGTTCTTATTTCTCTAGTTCCTTTAG